AATACGTCCGTAGTCCCAAAATAAATATGCAGTGCTGGGGGATCTCCCGGAATACGTCCATAGTTCCAAAATAAATATGCAGTGCTGGGGGATCTCCCGGAATACGTCCGCAGTCCCAATTTAAATATGCAGCGCAAATAAAAGAGATAACAACTATAACACGACAGAAACCTCGTGCATCACCACAACGAGTACAAAAGCAACAATGACAAAAATGCAAAGTACGACGAGCAAATCAACTCAAGAATTTAAATCACAAGAACGATAGAACTCATTCATAAGGAATAACCACAGTAAAGAATGCTAGGCATAAGGAGAACAACTTAACAAGGGAAAACAAAACAAAAATGTAGCAACGATTCCACAATATTCAAGTCAACAATAAGAAGCCAACACGAGTCAAATAGTTCCAAATAATGGCAAGTCAACTAAGATATAGGTTATCTAAACTCCTTTTGAGGTTGAACGATTTCGAGGAATATTCAACAATTCAAGTAAGGATAAGCAACGGAAGATAATCATAACTCCAATGAGGACTAAACAATTATAGGATAAAAAAATAATGATTTCAATTAAAGATAAGCAGTTATGAAAAATATAGCACGACGATAGAAGAGGTAAAATCTTTGGTTAAGTCGAATAAGGGTCAAATAGACAGTAAGAGTGAATCCTAGAGCAATTATCTCTAATCAAAGCATGTAGAGGTGAAACTAGCAAATAGGAATTCAAACGTATCAAAAACAACATCATACACAGTGAATATAAGGACATAAGAACTCTAAAAGGCCAACTTTTCACAAATAAGTTCGAGCACGCACTCGTCACCTCGCGTACACACACTACAATCAACATAGATGACTCAAATCCTAAGGGGTAGTTCCCCCACACAAGGTTAGGCAAGATACTTACCTCGAGTCAAGCTCAATCAATCCGTAAGAATGCCCTTTCCACGAATATCTGGCTCTGAATGGTCCAAATCTAGCCAAAAGCAATTACATATCATAATTACAACAATAATAGACTCATCTAATTAACGAAATCAACATTTTAACGAAAATTCCGAAATTAATATAAAATCGCCTGTGGGGTCCACTTCTCGGAATCGGGTCAAAGTCGTAAAATACGAGAGCTCATTCACTCACGAGTCTAACCATATCAAATTTACTAAAATCCGACATCAAAAGCTCGATCAAAATCCCAAAATTCGGCCTAAGAACTTTTCTCAAAGTTTCACCCCAAATCAGAATTTAAACGATGAATTCGAGCATAGATTAGTGGAATATAACCATAAGGGAGTTAAGAGTCATTACCCAAAAACTTCCTCCGAAAATCTCTCCAAATTTCGCCTTCTACCGAGCTCTCAATCAAATTTGTAAAGTGAACTTCAAACCCTCGAATCTGCCCCTTTTTTGCCCAGTTATTCCGCATCTGCGGACCTTGGGTCGCATCTGCGGAATTTCCTTCGCAGGTGTGGAAATGACTTAAGAGGGCTGGGTCTGCTTCTGTGGAAAAAGGTCCGGACTTGTGAGTGCGCGCCTCCGAACTATTGTCCGCTTCTGCGAACTCCTCCGCGCTTGCGTGTCCTTTAGCGCATATGCAGGCATCGCAGATGCGGCATTTCCCTTCGCACCCGCGACCCCTGACCACACATCCTAGATCTGCTTCTGCGCTTGCCTCTCCGCACGTGTGATTACGCACCTGCGTTCTCTCCACCGCAGGTGCGAAAATGACAGATGCCTGAAGACTTCAGCAGCAACACAAATCCAACTTTTGATCCGTTAAGCACTAGAAAACACATTCCGGACTCGCTCCTAAGCTCAAAATCACTCAATGGAGCTAACGAAGTCGACGGAATTCCATTCCGGATCCGTCTTCACACAGGTTTGACTACGGTCCAAATTCTAAGACTTAAGCTCTCATTTAGGGACTAAATGTCCCAAATCACTTCGAATCACCTGGTAATTGAATTCAACCATGCACGCATGCCAAGGCACATAATACGAAGCTGCTCAAGGCCTTATGCCGCCTGACGGGATTTAAATTCTCAAAACGACCGGCCGGGTCGTTACAGTACAGTTCCTAAATATTCCGAGGGGGACTAATCAAGCTTGTTCGCCGAGCCAGTAAGGCCCCTTTTTCGAGCATCGACGAGGATTGAGACTGAGGTTGGCATTGGTGTTTTGTTCGGGTAAAAACTGAAGACTTGATACCTCTCAAGTTCCTGCCATTCCCCAAGAAGTAAAATGCATCTCGTAAGTTTAGTCTTTCCTTAAGTGTCAATTTCCCTTTATTTCTTCTCTCATTTCCAGTATTTATGATCGTTCAGATGTTGCCCGGGTTCCTAATGCGATCCCCCGGCTCAAAGAGTGGATTGAAGTAAGCTGCAAGCAGATGTCATTCTACGAGCGCACGTGGCACAAACTTTCGAAGGGTAAATGGGAGGCCCGTTATTATAGTAAGACTCTCCCCTGAATAGTTATTACTACGCCCCAAACTTACATAATGATAAACCTTTCCTTTCCCTCGTAGGTTTGCCTAACACCACCAAACTTAGGCCGCTGGACGAGGATGAGGATACGTCCTTACCCATCGAACCCTCCATTTCGGGACAGCCTAAGACTGCCGCGGAGTAGAAAAAGAGGAAAAGAAAGTCCTCGGATTCCCCGGATCCCGAGGTGAAGATAAAAAGAGGGCGGGCTCGTAAGTCCAAGAAGAATACTAAGTCCAGGGTACCAGACTCTGACTTGATTCACCAGCTCAGGGATGAGCCCGAAGAGGACGACATCTTTGTCGCCCATGAATCGACCCCTGTTGGGGAGCAAGTGATGACCGAGGAAAAGGGCTACGAGATCGATCCCCTTTCGATTCGATAGGTTGAAGTGGAGACGGGGGATATGACCTCCCAAGAAGCCATTCTTGCTCTAAAGGAGGCGACCGGTGTGATAGACATCATCGGGACGTCCTCCTATACTGAGTCCATGCTTGAAGAGGCCTAAAAAGGTAAGGAAAAGACAAGTGAAGGAGTTCGGGGTGCTAATGATCCTCTTCACTCCTTCTTAGATGGCATGGACATGTCCACATTGGAAGATTTCTCTGGGCTGGGTCACCTGGAGATCCTAAAGAAGGACGTGCCTTTGGGAGCTGACATGCCGAGTATGAGCCCAAGATTGGTGAATCAATTTCCTGTGCCGAGCGTGGACCCCGAGCATAAGAGGATGGTTGTTCTCACAGTCCCGGAGGATGCACAGATCATATCTACTCCGGTAGGTGTAGCCAGCTACCTCCGATGCCTGGAGACCGAGGATGACCATGCAAAGATGAACGAGGTAGGTACGTCAAGTCTCTTTAACGAGGCGCAGCAGACACTAAACCGGGTAAGGTTGTAACACTTTCATACTCCCTTCATGAATCCCGCTTAATTTTTCCCTTGATGTCTCTTACTAGTCCCACTGTTTTATAGGCTTCAGTGCTTCATCATGAAAGCTTCCTCCGGTACAGCTTGGAAATCGGCCAGCTCGATTTCGAGCTTAAAGAACTAGTCCGGAAGAAGGATATGTACATGCTTCTAAGTGAGCAACATGACGAGGCCCTTAAAGACCTCCAGGCCGAGCTGAACAAAGTTTAGAAAGAGGCCTCGATACTGAAGCAGGAGCATGTCATCCTGGTTGAAAAGAAAAAGGCCTTTGAAGCTAAAAACAAGAATCTTGTCGTGGTGACTAACAACACAACCTCGCAAGTCCAATAGAAGATCGACCAGCTCTAAGCCGAGATGAACGAGGTTAAGGCCATGGCCGAAGTGTGGAAGGGCAGGATGGACCTGCTGGCTTCGGAGAAGGAAACTGCGAAAGAGGAGCTAGCATATGTTGAGAACTAACTCCGGGTGGCGAAGGATAAATTTGATAAGTGGTCTCAACTAAATGATGATCTCCGAGCACAGCTGAGATCGGTCGTCGTAGAATGGGATACCCTCGGAAGTGAATATGAGGCACTGAAGTCCAAACTGGACACAACCTCCGCTGATGCCGATAAAATGATGGCCCAATACAAGGCCGATATGGAGGCAGCCGAGACCCGCCTAAATACAAAGGCTGAATACATAAAGCAGTTGTCCCGAAGAGATACCCTCGAAGAGATTCACGCTCGAGGTTTCGACTTATCGGTCGAGATCGAGGAAGCTAAGAGGCTCAAGGCCGAGAAAAAAGAGCTCTACGAGCCTGAGGGTTCCAAAGGATCTGAGGGATCTGAGGGCTCCGATGGTTCCGATGACGAGTCGGGCCCTGGTAAAGACCAGGCGTAGATGCCTTAGCATCTTTTCAGTTTTTGTTTTTCCTTATGTATTTTCCTTTTTGGTTTATCTTGAGGCCATTTTATCGGGCCTTTGTAAATATATTTTGGAATGTACATATGAAATTTTCCCTTTCTGGCAACATCGCGTCTTCACTTTTCCAGTGTCTTCATGCAATTTCTATTATTTTTGATGCCTTAGCGTAAAATTAGATATAGTTATGGGGTGTTCGCTTTCCGGAGGTTCGAACGAAGCCCAACTTCGCTGCAACTTTGTTTGCTCGTGGCTTCGAAACCTCGACGCGATCGGATTTTACCTAACACTTAAGTATTTTTAAATGATACTTTTGTCGAGGGTAACCTTTTAGTAGGTTTCAAGTTTTTATAGAGTCCTTACTTTCTAGTTTCGGACTTCGGACGTATCTGAGCCGTTTTCATGGTGGTCGTAGCCTTTGGGTACCACCTAATAGGTTTTGGTGCCTCCGAAATTCGGTAGCCCGGGCTGTCCGAATTTTCTTCGGGCGACAGTCCCCGAGTAAGAGTAGCCCGTGGGCTCGATAATCCCCAAAATAGGGGTAGCCCATAGGCTTTTAGGATTCGGGATCGAAAAATGCGTAATTATAAAGTGTAAAGGAAGTGGAAATTTTTTCATTTCTTGGTATGCAAGGTACATGATTGAAAATAGATAAAAACTTGTGCCATGCCTAGGACGAATTATGTGGGCACGGTTCAAACGATAGTTTGGCCCTTACAATAAATCCTAATCGCCAAGCCTTAGCTTTTAGCACATTAAGTTTTCTTCTTCCCCTACTAAAGACCTTAATCCGAGGGTGGTGGCCCCCAGTATTCGAGGTCGAACTCATAAGGTCTCGGATAATGTTGACCTGAGTGCAAACGATCATTGATTCCGATTTGAAACTGATATTCAAATCTAAGTTAGCATATTTTACTATTGCCTCGTTAAAAACCTTGTGAAAAAACCATTTTGGGACAAAACCGTTTAAAGGAAAAAGAGTGAAATGCGTGCTTTCAGACCTAATAGCCACATCCATCCTTGGTCGTTTACCTACAAATATTAGTCCGATTCATAACATGATTAAAGAATAATTGAGTTCGTACCTTAGCAGTAGTATCTCTTTAAGTGTGTCACATTCCAATTGTTCGGTAGTTGCACACCATTTTCTGCTTTGAGTTTGTATGAGCCTTTGCTGGTAATTCTGACGACTCGATACGGTCTTTCTCAATTCAGCCCCAGCTTCCCCTCATTCGGGTTTCGGGTGCGTAATGTTACTTTCCTCAACATCAAGTCCCTGATTTGGAAGTGTTGGAGGTTGGCTATTCGGTTGTAATACCTTTCTATTCGCTATTTTTGCGCGGCCAACCAGACTAGGGCATACTCCCGCCTTTCATCCAATAGTTCAAGGCTTGTGATCATGGCCTCGCCGTTTGATTCTTTTGTTGCATATTGGAACCCGAGGCTCGGTTCTCCCACTTCGATTCTTCGAGGTCGTACGGTATGCCTACAGGACTTCGGGCAGGATTTCCTTCCAGTTTCCTTTGGCATCGGTCAACCTCTTTTTCAAGTTTTGAAGTATGGTCTTATTTGTTGATTTTGCCTGCCCTTCCCCCTAGGGTGATAAGGCGTCGATAGTATTTTCTTGATCTTGTGATCTTCAAAAAATTTATATACCTTGATGCCAATGAATTGTTTCCAATTATCGCAAACGTCCTCGGTCGGTATCCCGAATCGGCCTATTATGTGGTCTCAAATGAAGTCAATGACTTATTTTTCCCAGACTTTTTCGAACGCTTGAGCTTCGACCCATTTGGAAATATAATCAGTCATGAATAGTATGAATTGAGCCTTACCGGATGCCCAAGGTAGGGGACCGACGATGTCCATTCCCCACTTCATAAATGGCCACAGAGACAAAATCGAGTGGAGTATTTCCCCCGGTTGATGTATCATCGGAGCGTGTCTCTGGCAGTCGTCACACTTTCGTACGAAGTCCTTTGCATCTTTCTCCATTTCGGTTCAGTAATAGCTGACCCTCATTAATTTTTGAACTAAAGATTCTGACCCCGAATGGTTCTCGCAAGTGCCTTCGTGAACTTCTCTCAAGGCATATACGGTCTCTCCCGGCCCCAAGCATCTGGTTAGCGGGCCGTCGAATGTTCTTCTGAACAATGTCCCTACGACCAAGCTAAATCTGGAAGCCGTGGTACGCAGGGCTCTCGATGCTTTGGGATCCGAGGGAAATTTTCCAGTCTTCTAGTAGTCTATGTATTGGTTCCTCCAATCCCAAGTTAAACTCGTCGAATTTACTTTGGCGTGGCCTTCTTTAATCACTTACTTCATGAGTTGTACTACCATCCCCAAACTCAATTCATCGACATCGACTGATGACCCCAAGTTAGCCAGAGCATCGGCCTCGCTGTTCTGATCTCGGGGCACGTGCTGCAAGGTCTATTCCCTGAATTGATGTAACGTTACCTGTAATTTGTCTAAGTATATTCGCACCCGTTCCTCTTTCAGTTCGAACATCCCATTGACTTGATTTACCACAAGGAGGGAGTCGCACTTAGATTCGATCACCTCGGCCCCAAGGCTTTTAGCCAATTAGAGATCTGCAATCATGGCCTCATACTCGGCCTCATTGTTAGTCAATTTCGCAGTTCTAATAGACTGCCTAACTGCATTCCGTGTAGGTGGTTTTAACACGATGCCTAGGGGTGAGTATTCGGTATTTCGGTTCGGTATTTAAGAATTTTGGTTCGGTATTTCGGTATTCGGCTTATCAATTGTGTATACCAAATACCGTACCAAAGTATTTCAGTACGGTTTGGTATTTCTTATTTGGGTTCGATACGGTTTCGGTTTGATACATATTCATGTGTACTGCTAAATGCTAAGAGCCTAAGCATTAAGCAAGCAGAAACAAGCTAGATGCATACCTGATTATCAGAGCAAGTACTTGAAAGGGAAAAGAAGTAAATAAATTATCACAACAAGCTAAGATAATTTGGTTTTTACACCTTCCAAAACTGGCTCGAATGAAAAAAGCAGGATTGGTCATTCCATGTTTGGCATTGATTGATTACCCGGGGAAATTAAGCTGAAATTTTCTCTTGAATTTATACTGAGAATCTATCAAAGTATCTTGTATAAAACTAAACAAAAGAGCACGTGTTTACTGACAGAAACCAAGTGACAATACTAAGTATAGATGGACAAACCTGAACACTTTCCGATTAGGTGGAAATCTCAGCCTATTAGTAAATTTCCAAACGATCAAAAGAATACTATCACGTTTGTGAACCAACAGTTCTAGCAACAAAAATTGAGCAAAATCTCCGTTTAACTTACAAAATTTGTTCTGCCTATAAACAGAAATACTTCAAGATACCTTCATAGAGTACAAAGAATCCTTAGGGCCAAGCATTACCAAGGAGTTTTGAAATTCCTTTTGATGTCAACACCTTTTTCGTGAATCCGCCGCGCAGCAACCAAGCAAAGTTTTTTGAAATTCTTGTCTGCCTCTAAGCAACTAAGCCTAAGGGTAAGGGATTAGGGAATTTGGGGTTTTGGACTTTTGGGGTGTGGGCTTAAGGTTATTGGGCTAAACAATAAAATAAAGTTGGGCTTGGACTAAAACATTTCGGTATTTCGGTATACCGAAATATCAAAATATCAAAAACCAATACCCTATACCGTATCGAACTACCGAAATACCATAATTTCTGTACCAAAATAAATCGAAATACCGAAATACCAAATTAATTCGGTTCGGTTCGGAATTTATTTTTGCAGATTTTATGCCCAGCCCTAACGATGCCGAGCCCGGACCACTTTGTGTTCGAAGCACAATCCATAAAAAGGGTCCAATTCTTGAGGTAGTACCCGAGGTTAACAATAATTCCCTTTCGACTTCGGGTATTAAGGCCGGCGTAAAATCGGCCACAAAGTTTGTTAAAATTTGAGATTTTATAGCGGTTCGGGGTCGATACTCGATATCGTACCCGCTGATTTCGATGGCCCATTTGGCCAATCGAACTGAGAGCTCGGGTTTGTGAATGATGTTCCTCAGTGGTTAAGAGATTACGACACATATGGCGTGGCATTAAAAGTACAGTTTTAACTTTTTGGAGGCGCTTAGCAAAGCGAGCGCCAATTTTTTCAGGTAAGGATACCTTGTTTGGGCGTCTCCTAGAATTCTACTAACATATTAAATAGGAAATTGTGTACCTTCCTCTTTCCGAACTAAGACTCCATTTACCGCCACCTCGGAAACCTCCAAGTAAAGGTATAGTTGTTCGTCCGCCTTCGGAGTGTGCAGCAGGGGCGGACACGATAGGTAGCGTTTGAGTTCTTCCAAAGCTTGTTGGTACTCATGGGTCCAGGAAAAGTTATTCTTCTTCTTTAATAGTGCGAAGAATCGATGGCTTTTGTCCGAAGACCTTGATATGAACCGGCCCAGGGCGGCTATACACCCGGTTAGCCTTTAAACGACCTTGACACTGTCTACCATGACAATATTTTCTATGGCTTTGATTTTGTCGGGATTGACCTCGATTCCTCGATTGGACACCATGAACCCGAGAAATTTTCCCGATCAGACACTGAATGCGTATTTCTCCGTGTTCATCTTCATATTGTATCTTTTCAATATGTCGAAGGTTTCCTGCAAATGTTTCAAATTGTCCTCTGCTCGCAAGGACTTGACTAATATGTCATCAATATAAACTTCCATTGATTTTCCTATCTGTTCTTCGAACATACGGTTTACTAGGCGTTGATAGGCGACACATGCATTTTTTAATCCGAACGACATTACATTATAACAATAAGTACCGAATTTAGTGATAAAAGAAGTTTTTTCTTGATCGCCCTGGTCCATCCGAATTTGGTTGTACCTGAAATAAGCATCGAAAAAACTGAGTATCTCGTGTCCGACCATCGCATCGATCATCTGATCGATGTTAGGCAAGAGAAAGAATCCTTGGGGCATGCTT